ATTTCACATGTGAAATCTTTATAATGTCTGGATAGTTCTCAAATGTTTAAGAAAAACTTTATATTTTATCTGTTATTTTCAGTAATTAATCTCTGTACGGGTTCAGTAAATTTGACTGATCTCACAACCACCATAAAAATGAGGAAATAAACATAAATTATGCCTTTTTCATTTTAGAATGAAAACAAATTATAACACGAAAACATAAATGTTTAGATGAAATAGCTTAAATCTCATAACATTATACATTTATATATTTTTAATATACTGACCTTTTACCCATGCCTGGCTAACAATACAGAAGTTACAACGACGTGGCTCACGTGCACTCAAATAACATAAAGGTGACCTTTGTTCTGTACAAAGTAACTTGTCTTGGCTGTGTTTTAGTCGACTATTTTTTTGTAAAATACAGTCACATTTCAATTATTATACATTATATATGTGTATAGATTATTGCTATTCTGAAATATGTTCTTAAAGGTATTTTTCCTAAAACCTCATGAAAATACTTCATTCAAAATTCTGATTATTTGTCTACAAGTGACTTGATGATTACTGAAAGTTTGCAAAATTTCATGAGGATACACAATACATATTAGAAGTTATAGTATGGAAACTATAAAGGTCAGTTTAGGATAACAAACTTGGCTGATTCAACCAAGCCTTAGAAAGGAAGATAAATGGCAGTTTAATTTTGTTTAAATCACTCTCTTGTATGAGGTGTGCCTGAAAAGTTTGTGGCCTGACCTATAAAGAAAAGGAACTGGTTCAACTATGATTTATTTTTCAACGTAATATCCTTCTGAGAGTTTAAAATTGTGCCAGCAGTGCTCTAAGGCCTTTATGCCCTTGTGAAAGAATTCTACTTCTTGGTCCTCAATCCATGACTGGATGGTATTTATGAGATCATAATCTGATATCTTCAACCTTTCAAAAAGATTATAAGGTTAGGGAAAAAAAAGTCACTTGGTTTGTTGGTTGTTTGGTGTTTTATGGTGCATAGCAACTAGGCTATCTGTGCCAAACAATCGGTAAAAATAGTAAAAGTAAATTGTAGTAAAATGTAAATATAAATTGAGTTAAAACCAAAATATGTCCAAATAACAGATAAAAGAATTAAATAGAATTAAAAGGACTAATTGTTCTTAAAAAAATTGAAAATACAATCAAGTTGGATAATGTCACCATCGCCAATGACACTGTCCAATGACAGGGGTAAACCCTTACAAAACACGTGCTGAAAATGGTGCTACTACTCACAATCGTAATGATGGCACAACAGTAAAATGTGGGCTATTGTGACTTGAGTGTCACAAAGGCTGCACATTGGTGGGTCAATACCAGATAAAAGAAAACTACGAGTTAAAAAACTGTGACCAATGCGTAGCCTTGCCAGGACAACTTCCTCCTTCTGATCCTTATGGAAGCAAGGTGGCCAAAGAGCAACAGAAGGAAAAGATTATGACATTGCTTACCCCAAGTCGACTGCCAACTGGTGCTAAGCTGCACCTTGAATACAGGACCATAGTCCGTGTATGGGACAGGCACGGCCATGACAGCACCAGAGCAGAAAGTCACTTGGAGCTAAATCCTGTGATTGAGTAATTTGAAGCCAGCATCATGGATAGCATTCAAAGCAACATGTTATTTGTGAGCTGGGGCATTGTCCTGATGGAAGAGCACACCTTTTTAAAGAGTAATTCTCTTTTCCTTAATTTTTTGATACAGATTGTTGACTAAGGATGCATAGTAATCTCCTGTAACAATTTGACCTTTTTCCAAATAATTATCTATTAAAATGCCCTTGGCATCCCCAAAAATTGATGCCATGACCTTCTTAGCAGAGGGTTGTGACTTGAGGTGGGTGAACTTAGGTGTTTCCATTGCAAACTTTGCATTTTTGTCTCTATGTCAAAATGGTAAACCCATGTTTTATCCATAGATATGAATCTATTGAAACCTTTGGAGTAGGTATTGGCTTTCAACAACTCAGATCCATTTCTGTTCAAGTGACAACATTTTTGAATTCATCTGGTGCTAACCTTACTCATGCCTAAACTGTCACTCAAGATGCTTGCTTCAGTACTTTTACCAATTCCTACTTCCTCTGCTATCTTCATAAAGGCAGTTCTTATATCATACATAATCAAACGATGAATTTTATCTACAGTTTCTGTTGTTTCAATTCACAGTTCAATATGCTAAAGCACCCTCTCCTAATGTTGCTTCAATGTCATGGTGGATTTCTTGCAGTGTCATAATGGGGCAAAGTTTGATCACCAAGAGATGCCATTAAATCCATCTCAATGATCACTCCTCTGGAGGAATTTAAAGTAGCATGGGGAGTAACTTCAATAGGTATATACCCAATAGCCTTCGAAGTCAGGAGGAGTTTGATGTGTTTTGGTATAAGTGTTTCCACCAAGAAGTCCCCAGAACATAGCTTCTTAACTGACTTTGAGAGCCGTAAAGTCCCACTAATCCCTTTTGGATGAAAAAGGGAGACATTTGCCTTAATGATTTCTCAGTCGAACAATGAGAAAACAAGATACAGGAACATTAGGAGGTGGGGATTGGAGATCAGATACTGAAGATACAGAACCTTCCCTGGGAGGTCCCCTCACTACATTCAGGAATCTACCTCGAGGATATTTAATATTTATCAGAATAAATCATACATTCCTGTTTGTTTTTTTAAAGTACCCTCATAAGAATGAATGGAGCACAGAATTTACAGACTTTTCAAATCTATTTACATTTCTTACTCTCCAAATAACACGTATATGCTGTACTTTCAACTGGAATCTGGTTCAGTTCCCTGTCAATTGTTTTGATTTTTTAGAAGATAACACAGTCCATTTTAGAAAACAAATGTGATGCTCTGAAAAGGTTAAAATTGGCATTAGAATGAAATTTGCTTCTATTTTTTCACTGCTAGGTACATGTTCTTATTTCCAGTATTAATATGAAGAGATGGTTATTTATTTAATTATGATAGAGGATACATTTTTCTAATGTATTATGAATATTTGCAATTTTATCCTTTGTGCTGCTTTTTGGCTCTACTGAAATTTTATACAGAAAATTGCACAACCTGATTGTACCACACAAATGTTTTTTGTTTTTTTTAAACAAAGTATAGAAAAAAATATTTCGTGTATATATATATATCTAATTAACAAGATATTGTCCAAATGTGATACATTTAAAACAAGAGATTATTGTTGGAAAGTTTATTATGAGAATTTGAATTATGTTTTTGCATCATTTACAAAATTAAATTATTTCTGCAGCGTATTGGAGAAAGTTGGCTGACCCACTTGGATGAACTTAAGAAACTGTCTTCATTTATAAATGATCGTGGCTTCAGGCGCACCATCCAAACTGTGAAACAGGTATAATGTTTATATTAAATCGTGAGCTCTGTGTTATTACTAAAGCAGCAACAAAATGACTGTCAGTAAAGAATGTATACTTTTACATTGACCACAGTAGCAATATTACTGCAATATATATTATATGAATTTGGCTACAATAATTAAGAAAAAAGTCATAATGTGAATACTTATCACCAACAAATTCAATGTAAATAAAATATTTTTTTTAGTATCTATGAAACTTCCTATTTGGTGAAGTAATTGTAGCAGACATTTAATACTTGGATTTAAAATATAAGGACCAAATATCATAAATTTAATCATTTGTTTCTACCCAGGAGAACAAGATGAAGCTAGCTTCCTACATCCTCAAGGAATATGGTATTACTATCAATACAGCTTCAATGTTTGATATCCAAGTTAAGAGGATTCATGAGTACAAGAGGCAACTTCTCAACTGTCTTCACTTTATAACCATGTACAACCGTATTAAACGTAACCCATCAGCTCCATTTGTACCAAGGACTGTGATGATTGGAGGAAAGGTTTGTGATGTGTAATTTTTCATATCATGTACACATGGGGTAAAAAAACAAACAAAAGTGTTATTAGTTCAGTATGGGGAATATCAAAATATGTACCCATGTAGTAAAATTGTTAAACTTTCAACACAAAAACTCTTTTATTAGAGTTTTTAGTCTTATTTAAATTATAAAGTTCATTTAATCCTTCAGTGGGACAGCAGTAAGTTTACAGGTTTACCAAGCTAAAATCAGCAGTTCAGTTCCCTGTGGTGGACAGAAGACAGATAAACTGTTGTGTGAATTTGCATTAAAGCAAACACACAAACTTGTATTTAAAATATTTCAACATTGAAGTTTTTATAAGATGTTTCAGTTAGTTGTATCAGTAAGTAATGAGCGTGCATTTAACGTAAATATGGTTCTTGGAACTGAATTTTTAAAGTTTAAAGTGTCTGTTTTCTCAATCATTTACTTGAGAGTAATTTTTTAAATAAAAACGTAACATTCATACTGTGGTTTAGTCTGCTTAGAGTTTTTATCTATTTATTGATAATTTGTTTGAGGGAGAGGGTTAAGGAGGAAAATATACTGTATAAATATAAAAGATAGCTATATATAGAAGAGGGGATTTTCTCCATTCCAATTTATGTTTTGCTATAAAAAAACTGAGAAAATGTTATTGAAGATAGGAGAAATATTGGAGTGAATGTGACCACTCTCATGTTGATAACTACCGCTTTATTAAATGTTCCACTATCACTTATTAAAATCAAGAATAAATAGCACAAAATTTAGATTTATGTTTTTTTCTTTGTATGCACAGTTTGAGCTATTATCCTGTTAAAATTACTAAATGTTTAATAACAATACATTTTAGGCTGCCCCAGGATATTATATGGCAAAACAAATCATCCGATTAATTTGTGCTGTAGCTCGTGTGATAAACAATGACCCTGTTGTAGGTGACAAGCTAAAGATTGTCTATCTAGAGAATTACAGGGTTACCCTGGCAGAGAAGGTCATCCCAGCTGCTGACCTCAGTCAACAGATATCCACTGCTGGCACTGAAGCCTCAGGAACTGGAAACATGAAGTTTATGGTAAGAACTAAGAAAAGCCTTGTAGCTTTTTGTTTAAGTGTAGAACTAGAAAAAAAAGAATAAGACTTTAGATGAAACTTAACAGTTTTTTGTTTCTGTGAGTAGCACTTAACTTTTTCCAACAATTTATGTTGAAGCTACTACAACATTAAGTTTAAAAAACATTCTGTATGCTCTCTGATCCCATCTTCACCTCTAATTGCTTACATGCTAAGACTAACCGCAATGCTCAGGTTTAAAGTCTCGTGCTGATAGCAATTTTATTAGTACTTATTTTGGATAAAGTAAAAAAAACAACAAAAAATCTACTAACCCTAATACTCTCTATTTATATTACTTTTAAAAGTTGTATTTATTTTATTGCATGATAAGAACTAAAAGTGGATTTTGTGCATGACATTATTAGGTCTGAGAATGCTGTGTTATTGCTAATAAGCTAGTGTGAGGCATGGTAGTGGTTGATATTTCATTTAAAATTGTAAATCTACCAGCAAAATAATTTAGATTCATAAATATTCATTGGTTATCATGTTTTTTATTTGAAGTGATTGTTTCAGATGTGGTAACATTTACGAGTTGTTAAGTTTTTAATGCATAAATGGTAATATACTGCCACTGGTTTGAAATGGTTAAAATGAGACTTTCTGCTAGAGGATGTTTTGCTTTAATCATAAAATAAGATTACTGGCTTTAATTGTTTCTTTAGTTTTAATTTTGTTGAAATTACTTTCTTTGTAAAATACATAGGGAGGCCCTGGTAGTAATTAGTAGAATTAGTTACAATATTGATGATATTTTTTGCTCGTTATTAGGAATTCCATAACTAAAAAAAGTCATGGATCCACAAGTAATTTGTTGCCTAAATAGTTCAGAAAAGTTTTCTTTAGAATTGAATGGGTTCTACGTGGATTCCATTGGACATTCTAGGATTAATATGATAGAAACCACTATTTACTTAACCCCAAAACTACCAGGTGGAATGATACTTCTCTCAACACTGAAGGCCTAATTGATCCATTACTTAATTAATACAATAGAGCAATGTAAAGGTAAAGCAAGTGCAATTAAAAGTAAATTTATTATTTTACTTATAGTTGTATTCATTTCACCATTTTATATATTTGTCTAGATTGGACCTAGTTCATTATCTCAGGGTTAAATGTTTGTAGATAATGAGTTTTCTTCAAATAGATTTTAGATGTAATTTTATTTATTATTGAAACCAGTAGAAAAAGCCATCATTTTTCATAGATATTTTTGATGTTAATGTTTTGTGGTATTCATTTGAAATTGTTACCTATTGCAGACATTTTAATTGGTGAAAATAAATTGTCTTTAGGTTTTGCTTGTAACTCTCTGTAAAACTTACATAATACTTAAAAGAACTTATTAACTAAAACTATTTTTATTTGTTTGTCATCAGCTGAATGGTGCTCTTACTTGTGGAACATTAGATGGAGCAAACATTGAAATGAGAGAAGAAATGGGACCAGAGAACATCTTCATTTTTGGCATGACAGTAGAAGAAGTAGAAGAACTGAAGAGGAAAGGGTAAATTGACAATAAGTATGATGGTCATAATAGGAGTTTTCTACTTGAGATTTAAACCTTGGTAACTCGGTCGAATTTCAGCTTCAGGGCATTAATGTAAATAAATGGCACTGGGTTTAAGCTATCATAAAAACAGGCACCTTGAGTCCAGATTTACTATATTAGTCTCATACTAGTGGTGTGTGTGTGTGTCTAATAATATAGACACACACAAATTTGGTTCAATGGTTGGCTTTTGTGCATTATTGTACTGTTTTCTGGATGCCAGAGAACTTGAATGAGCTGAAGGAACCTAATTAAAGCTTCAATCAGGGCAGATTTCTTAACATTATGATTTGTTATAGTATACTCTATTAATTGCTTTTGGAGGATTTTATAATCAATGTTTAGATTGAATAAAGATGGAAATGAATTAAGATTTTAAAATATTATTTTAAGTGATAAGTTTTCTCTATAATTTTTCTTTTATGTCTATATATGACAGGTACAATGCTTGGGACTACTACAACAAGAATTCTGAGCTCAAACAGTGTATTGATCAGATCAATAGTGGTTTCTTCAATCCCCACAATCCCGACCAGTTTAAAGACGTAGCCAATGTCCTCCTGAATCATGATAGGTATACTTATTGAGTACTTCTAGTCAAAGCAAAATTTTAATACATTTTATTATTACAAATCTACTTTCAAATTGAAGGAAAAAATCTTATTTTTTTTTCACTCACAATTATTGTTTGTTTTGTTTTCATTCATTGAAGCTTAAAAGTCTTTACCCATTCCAGTTATTTGTTTGCTTAGTGAATGTAATTATTCTTAATGTTTCTTCATCAGTGAGAAAGAAATGTTAAATTTATTTCAGCCTATCTCTCTGGTTAGAGTGTTTTGAGGGGAACACCATCTTTTTTCAGCAATTTTAGATAAAGCTGAAAGAATAACAGTTTTTAATATCAGTTTTATACTACTTGTTAATGAGAAGAAAATAACATCTTGAACTTAGCAATAACTTGTTAAATGTACTGAAATGTTAGTTGTTAGTAGTAATGCCATATGTAGCTGTGAGAATAGAGTAAAAATGCCATCAAAGTATGTTGATTTTCAGTTTCAATTTTTATGTTAACCCTATTATGACTGGTGAGCTTCTTGGAGGTGTTGAGTGCACCCTACATATAAACTTTCAAAATTTGAGAAAAAAGTAAGGACTTTATTTCAGCAATTTTCTAATCAAAATATTTTAGAATGGATATTTTGTCATATTGTAACATTTATTTATTGTAATTATCAAAGAAAAATGTTCAAGCTGATATGTTTGTATAGCTCTGAAAAGTCTCACTTACTGATTTTTTTAACGATCTTTTCTGACCATTCTAAACATAGGTTTTTATTTTTTAAGATATCATCCCTTGAGAGTACAGTTAATCAAGATTTTCCTTCTCAATCTGACAATTTGTTATTACAGGCGTCTGTTCACATCACGTACTGTGAGGTCATAAAAGGGTGGGAAGAACTACTAATGAAGAATAACTTTGAAAATAGCTACAGGCAAAGTTCAAATATCATTGAATAGAGTTTACTGTAAATTATTTACATCAGTGTGAGAAGTAATTTCTGGTTTTATTAGAAAGTGATTAGGTTAGTTCCTGCACAAAAGAACAATGGCCCTTCCCCAAATCTCAATAAACATTTGGGAATTTTCTGACATACAAAATGACAAAAACTCTTTAGTCAAATTGTAGGAAGTTTGTAAAGCTGAAACTAGACACCATGTAGTAAGTTTAGTTAAGTATATCCATTGTGAGAAGGAAACAAATCAAGAAGTGCCACTAGAAAGTTAACATTGTGTATATATATATATATATATATTATCATCAAGACTTAGGTTTTACTACTTTTACTTATAGTTAACAATATGTTACTAAAACCTAAATATGTTTAACTTATTACAAGTTTAAATGAATTGTTTTTATACAGATTCTATTTACTGGCTGATTATGAAGACTACATCAAATGTCAAGAACGTGCCAGTGATATGTATACGGTAAGCTGTTGAAAAATAAAGTTAATTATACTGTTATATTTATGTGAGGCTCTGAAGGTCATGGATTTGAATCCTGCACTTTCAGCTGTGGGGGCATTATAATGTGACAGTCAATACCACTATTCATTGCTTAAGGGTAGCCCAAATCCAGGGTGGTGTTGGTTAGCTGCCTTTCTTCTAGTCTATCTCATCAGAATTAGAGATGGCTATTGTAAATAGACCTTGTGCAAAATTCAAAACAAAAACAGTGTCTTAGGAATTACGTAAATTTTATCCCCTAAAAGCTTGAGGGAATGTTTAAAAATAAGGTTTTTCTTTGAGAAACGGAAAGTTAAAAAAACTATAAGAGAGGCATCTGATATTTTCTGCAAAGGAAATAAAGGTATGTAGTTAAAAGATGAAATAATTGGATGTTGAAAAACACATCAAAATAAATCACCTGATCATTACTTTTACTACAGTATCTTGTAATTTGATATCTATTGTTTTGAACCCATGGCACTTGAAAGAATGATTTATAGTCAGCACAAGACATGTAATCCTGTTCTACGAGTTACAATTGAAGAAATTAATTTGTACATTTACAAGGAGAAACTACACACTAGGTATGCCTTTTATGTTCCTTGTACCACAAAGGTCAGAAGTGTGAAAGTACAGGGTATTCATGTGAACCAACATTGGGACATCTGCAAGGTTACAAGTGCACATGAAAATCAATACAATTAAATGTCATGTAATGGTTTATTAATTTAGCAAAGTAAGCTTTTATAAACTGTATAATAAACCATCTATAGATAATTTTATTTTTCATTTTTGTTCACTGTGCCATAGAATACAGAAGAGTGGACAAAGATGGCCATCAATAATATTGCTTCCTCTGGCAAATTCTCAAGTGATCGCACCATTAGTGAATATGCTAGGGAGATCTGGGGGGTGGAACCAAGCTGGGAAAAACTTCCGGCACCTCATGAACCCAAAGAAGAAGAGAATTCCACAGAAGGGAAAAAAAATGACAAAAAGTAGTAAGAAATTTTGACAATGTCAGAAAATACTAGCTTTGAAGTGGCAATAATATGTGGTTTTTCAATCATTGCAGAATCTTTCAGTGTTTTACGGTCTTCTGAAAAATGCACTAACTTGTAAGTGATTTTTTTCATGAAGCTATTTATTAGAAAGATGAAGTTTGTATACTATATGTATAATATATTGGTATGGATAATATAGTTTCTTTTAGGCTTTGGAATGAGGTAAATTATTACTTTAAACATTACAATCATATGAATGAACCCAACTATAGTGAAGCTGCTGTGCTGTCATGAGTAGGTTGATGCATTTGTATATGAGCTTATCAAGTAAGATGCAGAATGCAAATTTTTGTTCGGGTAGTTGTGACCATTATTGTGTGTGTGCATTTATTTGTTTGCAATCAGTGACATGAAAAGCATTTAAAATTTGATGAATTATAAAATTTTATCTTCCTCACAACATTTATATAGTTAGGTGATTCACATATTGTTACATAATAAATCTCACTCTTGAGGCCTTGAAAGAAAGTGTTTCCCATTTAGAATACTAAGCAGCATTCTAGTAATATAGGATTAAAACTGTATAAAGACACTTAATCAGATGTTTCAGTAAAATCTTGAATCTACTAAATTAGTCTGAAACTTTATTTAAGGCCATTGAACTGATTTTAGCTGAGTTCTTAACCTTTAATCTCGGTGTTTATAAACAGTAGATTGTTGAGAAATTTGAATAAAAAACCTGATATAACCTTTTAGATATTTTACTCGTATGTTACAAACTAAAGTCAAAAGTGCAAGTATCCTTTTTTTCTCCTACAGGTAAGCAGGAGTTTCTTTAGCATATACAGGATCATCATTATTACAGTATGCCAATTTATATGAAGTTTCAACTACTTTCATTTTTTTTTCTTTTTAATGATAGATTTGATTATTTATGACCATTTGAAAGAGATCTTGTGGTAATTAGTTTAGCTACAGTGATTTAGCTGAATTGATTTAAAAGTGCCACAAAAACTAAAGTTGTTGTTATTGTTGTTGTTTTCACTGTTATAAGAAGTGTGATTTTTATTTTTTAAGAAAACATTTTAATGTTTATTGTTCCATTTGTATTTTACTTATATTTAAAATCATAAAACTGATGCAAATGATGATTTTTAGATAGTTCAAGTCTATGTTTCTGTGTGTACAATGTTTTTTTTTTATCCCTTTGGCTGTTCCACTTTTAACATTAGCTGATGGTTGTCCTTATTAAAAATCATTATTCTTCCCATTACCTAAAATGTTGGAAATCTCGAAGTATTACTTGATATTTTTAGGTAGTTCCAAAATGTATGTAATTAGAATCTTGAAACTTAGTTTCATGGAGTAAACCAGCTTCTGAATGTAGCACTAATCTGTTGATGTACATCAAAGATTCAGGAAAATAAAGGTTATATAATGCCCTCAAAATTACGTATTATGTGATAGGAATGTTTATTACCACCTCTGTGGAAACATTAGAACATTATTAGTGTTACTCATATCTTCATGAAAAACTACTTTATATTTAAATTACCAATTACAAGAAACACCAAAGTGACCCAAGACATTTGTTTACCATGAAAGTCAGCAGTAGGCCTAAAAAAGTCAAAGGTTTAGTGTAATTTAAGATGAAATAACAAACTTGAGTTGTCATGTGTGTCTGATGGAAAAACTTGTTAGGGTTAAACTCCACGTCATCAAGCTTCAATATGAAAAGGACTGTTGATCTTATGGCAACAAAGAAGCAAAACTGCATTTGCAGATTATTAGCTTGTGCTGCTTATGCCTCAGGCACAACATTGAACATGAAAGTTCTTACATTCAGCTTCAGAGAAAATACCTCACCTTTTTACACAGAATAGCTATATCCCTCATGTGTCTGCCTTGAGGTTTGCATGCCCTTAGCCTTGAGCTAATTTTCACCTAAAATTTATGTGTTTAATGTGAACGGAGCTAGTACTTGATGACATCATCGTGCAACAAAAGCCCTTAACGAATAGGAGGGCAATGCAAGTTCTATGTATAGTAACTCCCTTTAAGCACTTGCACTCGAAATAACTCCATTTTTTTTTTCTCAGTATTATCTTGAATAGATTTACTGAGATTTGCTAGTCAAATGAACTTTGGTTGTGTTCTACCTTAGCTTTTGTTTCAAAAGCATTGACTATTATAATGGATCCTCAAGTGACTGACTTCAAATTTGTCTCGTGAAAGTGACGAAGTTACAAATATAGGACCTGTTTCAGCTATGGCTTCTGGAGGCTCTTTAGCTGTTGACGATGTTACAGCTATTTTGCAGTACGTTGTGCTTTCCAATACGGTACTTCTCTCTTTTCACAAGATTAGCTATCCTCGTCCAGTGCTTCCATCTATATGCAATTTTTTCTTTATGCATGCCAGAAGCCTTCTGCTCCCCCTATTGGAATCGAATGATTCCAACATGTCTATCATGCAAATCATCATGCGTCACTTCTCCACCAATAGGAGCGTGACATACGTGATGAAAGTGATTCCCATTTTGGTTATTTCAACTTTCACATTCATCTTTAGTATACTCATGAAGTGGTTCTTCATTTATTTTCACTTCTAGTTGCTATTAAGACTGTTTATTAACTTCACCTTACTCCCAGTTTATTATAGTTGCATTTTTATTTATACTTTCGATTATTGGTTGACACCAATTCATTATGAATTCCAAAGTTCATGTTACCACTCTGGGGGGTCACTCCTGCAGCTAGCACTATGTCTCAAATGTGGGCAACTCTATGAGGGGATTTATCTGCGTTTATTCACAGAGATACTGAACGTTAAATGGGTCAATCTGGACCTCACCCAACTTCCTCCTGAACAAGCAGAGTCTGTTCAGGTGGACAAGGACTTGGATTTGCTATTTCCACCTCCTGATTTTGCCAAGCCCCACCTGAGTAGTTAGTTAGGCCTAATATAGGTTTTTCAAATGTGACGTTTCATCTCTTTCCCCTCTTTCCTATGAACTACATGACCAATCTTCTCATCGCTATTTGGTTTTTCCCCCTCCCCAGATATTCAGGTACGTGAGGACCAATTTGAATCATAATTAAGTGACAGGATTAGCATGCCTCACCCCCATGGGCTTCAGATCAGTTTGCTTTTGCATATAATTGTGCAGACTGTCCTTTTCTGGACCAACAATTGTTAGGTTCCATATTGCCTGTTTAGAGTGCAGCCCCAAAATCTCCTGTAAGTCTGACCTGTGCCCAATTTTCCTCCCTTCACCTTACCCTCACAACTCTTTTATGGTATCTCTACCATCCATCTCCTTTCTGATGCATTTACCACATATCTCAATCACAAGTTACCTATTTTTTGATCCCTGGTACTTCATCCTTGGGCTCTGGCTGTCAATGCCTTCAGCCAAGATTGGTCCCACAAATTCCTTTACGTTTATCCTTCTGTCTGATTATGTTAATGGAGGATTTCTCTCATCCATACTACTTCTTGTCGAGTCCTTCTGATCACTTCTTATTGGTAGGCTCAACCATGGTTTCCATTATTACAAAAATGGCAAAATTTCCTCCAGTACCTCTTCCTATGTCTCCCTTTTTTGTCAACCTCATTCACTGGTTCTACATTCAGTCCTTCATCTTCACACTTGGCTTTTATCCAGTCCTTGGTGAAAAGATCAGGTTTCTCCTATTGTGTAGCTCTCCTTTTAGCTCGTTCCATATGTTCTTCCTCAATGGAGGTGTATCAGCACAAGTGGAAAGTGTACCACAGTTGGTCTGCAACTCGGGGATACCCTGCTGACCGACCTACTGTGGCTTGAGTTTCTCACATGGCTTTTCAACTGGGGTCCTTGCTCTTATCCCATACCTTTCGTTTTTCATGATACCATAGAGTTTTTTCTTCCCCAGTCCTTACCATGTTAATGCATTCCTTCCAGATTCGTCATCCCCTCAAATGGACTACTCTTCTGGACTGGGATATTAATGTGGTCCTCCATTCCCTCACTTTACCTTCATTGGAACCACTTTCCTTGTGTTCCATGTTTCACTTTTCCCTTAAAATGTATTTCCTTCTCCTCTTAGCCTGTGGACGTTGAATGTCTGATTTATTTGCCATTGATGTTTCACATATACTTTTACCACCCTACCTATCTTCTCCTTTATCCCAATCATTCCTCCCAAAGACCTTGGTGGCCAGCGAGGGTAACTTATTCTTTTTGCCTATTTCCTTTCTTTCTATTTCTCATTTCTATTCTCGTCCTGATCCAGATAAAATTATATGTCCAGTCTGTACAATTAATTGTTATATTTGGCTTCCTTCCTTCCTTCCATGGTACCCATTCCCGACTGTAGTCTTCACTTGGCAGTTTTCCTCTGTTCAGGATCTTCCCCTTCTATCCTAATCAATTGAGTTTGACTTTTGATTTCATTGGCTTATTCCTCCTTGTCTTCCCCCCCCCCCCCCGAACTTTGTTCCAGGTGCCTTCATATCAAATTCAACACTTCACCTTTTCCCTCGCATCTCGTCTTCATTGGGCATGTGGACTACATCTAATACATTCATCTCCCATTATTTACACCATATCCCAGTTTCTTCTTCTTCTTAGGTTTTTCATCTTCCACCTGTGGCTGTTCTTCAGGCTTCAATGCAACTTTGGCTGGGTAAGTTTATATTCATACTTTTCCTTTTAGAGGCCCTTGCTTTGTTTACTCATTATATGGATCCCACACTGTACAGCCATGGTGATTAGCACTTTATCTTGCGTGGCTTCACAATGCTCACTGTTGAGATGAGGTGTTCCACAAGATTGCTTGTATGTGAGTAACCCTGTGATGTAATTGCTTCATAAATTTGCCCGTTCTGGACCGTACCACCCATGGACTGTGTGTAAAGCAGAAAGAGATAGCTGCCCATCCCTGTCATGCCTTCTGTTGAATAAATTGGTGTGGTCTGCTTTTGAAAATAGGGTTTCATAATCACCCATTGCACTATCTCAGGTGATGATGTTCCTCCAGACTCTCCACCGCATTCTCACCCCTTTCTTCTATGAAGAATGGAAGTCCTTACCACTTTCCAGTTCTAAGCTGGTGGGGTGGTCATCGATGATCAGCCCATTCCACCATGGCTTATTACCATCCCCATCTGTGACCATTTCTTGAGTCATCTGAGGAAGGCAGATGCTCCCGATTAGAAGTACCATCTTTACTGAACATCTTTCAAGCCATCCTTCTATTCCCATTTAAATGGATGGTTTGAAATCAGGTGACTCTGTAGGCTCTGCTGTGGCATAGTAGTTGCTCACAGGATCCTCTCTACAGTTTGTGTTCACTGCCAAGTTGTATGCCATTTCTCTTGCTCTGGATCCTGTAGAAGCTATGCAGTACAGCTATTGTACTATTTACACTGATTCTCTTAGCTCTCTACTGGCCCTGGAATCGTTTAATGTTAGTTCTCACCCTGTTCTCGTCGATATTCAACAATGACTGACCCATTTTCTCTATCTTCTGTTTCCATCCAGTTTTTCTGGATACCTAGCCATGTCGGTATTCGAGAGAATGAGCTCACTGACTCTGCAGTTATGTCTGTCTGCTCTGGTGCCGTCAGAGCTGTGCCTGTCCCATATATGGACTAAGGTCCTGTATTCAAGTTGAGGCGAGCAACGTCATAACAAGCTTTTCAGATCAAACCTTCTGTTGCTCTTTGGTCATCTTGCTTCCATAAGGATCGGAAGTAGGAAGTTGTCCTGGCAAGGCTATGCAATGGTCAGTTTTTTAACTCATAATTTTCTTTTGTCTGCTATTGACCCACCAATGTGTAACCTTTGTGACACTCAAATCACAATAGCCCATATTTTACTATTGTGCCGTTGTTACAACTGTGAATGGTGGCACCATTTTAGACATACCTTTTCAACAGGTTTACCCCTGCTGTTGGATGGTGTCATTGTAAATGGTGACACTATTTAACTTAATTGTGTTTTAACTTTTTACCAGCCATTGGCCTTTTTGATTCTATGAGTCTTTTATGTGACTTTTGGACATTGTTTAGTTTTTAAACCGATTTCTTTTTACGGTTTTTACCAGTTGTTTGGCGCAGATAACCTAGTTGCTTTGCATCATAAAATGCCAAACAATCAACCAACCAAAAAACTCATTTGCTTATATTTTCTGATTTGGCATGTTTATCTTCTTCAACCTCTTTTTTGATATATACTTGGTTGATCTGTTGCTGGGATTTGTTAGGGAGGAATGCCTTTCTTACTCGGGTATGTTTACCTCCCTTTTATCTCAGAGACCTTTGGTTCCTTTCCTCTGCTAAAGTGTTTTTTGGGAAGTAGCATGCTCGGAAATTATGTTTTGAGGCAGAATCCCAACATTCGTCCCTATCCTTCATAGTTTCCTATCTCTCCCATTCTCCTTCCCTATCTATTTCTATCTCCAATCCTC